CGCCATGTGCTTCGAGAGGGGATCATTCTCTAGCAGCGCTAAGCCACTTCATCCTCTGACGCGATCAATCCACACCATGCTATTTAGGTGGGAGAACTATGCTTGACGCTGGCCACTGAGCCATTTTAGACTGGCTTACGACGTCTCAGTGGAAGGATAAAGATGAGCAGCCCCTTGGGGAATGACAATCCCAAGTCACTAAGCACCAGCTTATTATAGAACAAAACCTACCAGCAAAGATCAGTCGCTGCTGGTCTGGAGGAATTCCTTCCTTGTCCTGGAATCTTGGCCTTCACGTTTTCAATGGTGTCAGAAGCCTCAACTTCGAGGGTGATGGTCTTTCCGGTAAGGGTCTTGACGAAGATCTGCATTCCACCGCGAAGTCGGAGAACCAAATGAAGTGTGGACTCTTTCTGGATGTTGTAATCAGATAGTGTGCGTCCATCTTCAAGTTGCTTGCCTAAAGATGTGACAATTAGTGGCTTGACAGTAAACTGCATCTACAACAAACAAGTTTTAAAACATACCAGCAAAAATCAATCGCTGCTGGTCTGGAGGAATTCCCTCCTTGTCCTGAATCTTGGCTTTCACGTTTTCAATGGTGTCAGAAGCCTCAACTTCGAGGGTGATGGTCTTTCCAGTAAGGGTCTTGACGAAGATCTGCATTCCACCGCGAAGTCGGAGAACGAGATGAAGGGTGGACTCCTTTTGGATGTTGTAATCAGACAATGTGCGACCATCTTCGAGTTGTTTTCCTGAAAATCATTAACGTTAAGTAAATTTGACGGAACAGGAAGCGCTTTGAGGCAGCTTTGTACAACTAAAACATACCGGCAAAAATCAATCGCTGCTGATCTGGAGGAATTCCCTCCTTGTCCTGAATCTTGGCTTTCACGTTTTCGATAGTGTCAGATGCCTCAACCTCTAGGGTGATGGTCTTTCCAGTGAGAGTCTTCACGAAGATCTGCATTCCACCGCGAAGTCGCAGAACGAGATGAAGGGTGGACTCCTTCTGGATATTGTAGTCGGAGAGTGTGCGACCATCTTCCAATTGTTTTCCTGAATAACAAATTTTTCAGTGAATGAGTGAAGTTATTAAGGGAAACCCCCAGTAATTTAAACGCTCTCTGTGACCTACCGGCAAAGATCAATCGCTGCTGATCTGGAGGAATTCCTTCCTTGTCCTGAATCTTTGCTTTCACGTTTTCGATTGTGTCAGAAGCCTCAACTTCGAGGGTGATGGTCTTCCCGTGTTAAGTCTGACGAAAATCTGCTTTTCCACACGAAGTCGGGGAGAACCAGGTGGAGAGTGGACTCTTTCTGGATGTTGTAATCGGACAAAGTGCGTCCATCTTCGAGTTGTTTGCCTAAAAATATTACAATTAGCTGCTCAGTAGTGGAGCATGATAAACAGCCCAACTTCAAAACATACCAGCAAAGATCAGTCGCTGCTGATCTGGGGGGATTCCTTCCTTGTCCTGAATCTTGGCCTTCACGTTTTCAATGGTGTCAGAGGCCTCAACTTCGAGGATAGGTCTTCCAGTAAGGGTCTTCACGAAAATCTGCATTCCACCACGGAGTCGGAGAACCAAGTGGAGGGTGGATTCCTTCTGGATATTGTAGTCGGAAAGTGTGCGACCATCTTCCAATTGTTTTCCTGAACAAGAAAATGTTTAGTGAATGGAGGAACAAAATCACTAGAAATCCTTCCGCCTGCGAAATTTCTCCTCGACGTACCTGCGAAAATTAGACGTTGCTGATCAGGTGGAATCCCTTCCTTGTCTTGAATCTTGGCCTTGACATTTTCAATAGTGTCGGACGCCTCGACTTCGAGAGTAATAGTTCTTCTGGGGAGTTTTGACGAAAATCTGCATGGTTTCTAAACAAAATCAAACATTCAAATGTGGACAGTTGAAGCAACATGAGTCACATGAACGAAAAGTCAGGCAGTCACTAAAAGAGAACGAGGAAATCTTCCGCAATGACCTCAAAAATCGAAGAATGCGAGAACAACGACCACCGCCCTCGATGTGAATGAATGCTCCACACGGGCGGCCCAGCCGACCAAACATCGATCAATATAGCGCCCGCCCTAGATCGATATCAACCTTGCCCGTGCCCCTCCGCCAAAACATCCCGTCCGCTTCCACTTTTCCGATAGACTTTGCTCTAATGACTACATCACGCGATTGGTGAATCATTTTACAATGCAAACTCACACAAAAGTTCGGAAAAAATCACTGGAGAAGATTTAAATTGGACTTGGAGTTAATTCTTACCACCCAAACCAATACATGTGGATGACTGAACAGTCAGGTTTACAAAATAAATATTCCGCAACTTGTCGGGAGAGTCCAAAGGCTCTACTTTCCTTTCAAAACTAGTTACTACCAAGAAGCAAGAAGCACGCACACATATTTCAAATTCAATAGAAATAAAGAAAAGGCGTCAAATAGCAAAACGAGGACAGTCATATGTGTTTCATCACCCTTTTGCTTCCTGACTGTCAGGCAAAAAATCCTAGCACAAGCAAGTTCTAGTATTGAGTGGAATTTTCCCTTTTTTCTTTTCACCCCCAGTGAAGTTCGGGAAGAAGAATTTGCTGAACTACTACAACGTGGAACTCCACAGTTTTTTTTCTGAGTGAAATTTCCCAGTTTTTCCTTTCAGTAATGAACAATGAAGTCCCTAGAAAGGCCGAAAAGTAGACTTCGCTTAACTATAGCTATGTGAAGCTTCAAAGCAGCATAGAATAGAAATGAGGCTTCGAAAAAGACCTGATGGACATTCCTGACTCGACGATAACAAGAGACAGCAGCCTAACAGCTCGACCAGAGCGAAATGTGTTATCGACTTGGCGCTCGGGCTATTTATACTGCCGCGACGCAGAACGTTCCGGAATCATGTGACTCAGCCTAGGCCGTGTTGTGCAAGAGATGATTTCATATGTAATAATCAATTTTTTATATCCTGACTCATCATAATGACGTGTTTTACAAATGGACTCATGTGGTTCCAAGATAGACATCTCTCACGTGCTTTGGAACATATTGTCTATTGTCGAGACATCCCCCAGATATCGCACTTCTTCGGAACGAAGTAAAAAAATGACAATTTATTGCCAGGGTCATATATGTCATAAGTTCAACACTGCACGTTTTCCTTCGTCTGCTTTTCAAAATGAATGGATCTGAGGACTGTTAAAGAGTTTGGGACGGGGAACAGGCATCGTGTATTTGATGCTCACTTCAGGCTCTAACCAAGGTGCTTAAAAATGTAAGCATTGTAAATATCCCAACTCTTCACCTAGACATATGAATATCACATTCGTTCGCCCGAAACTCCTAGCGCCCGCGGCCACAGGCGCCGGTCTCTGGGGTATTTGCGCAGAGCCTGTATCGCGGGCGCTAGGTTTCACGCCGAGTTGTGATACTTGTGTTCAGGAGGTCCACTATCCTTGGGGACAAGTTTTCAGCGAATTTGGTGACTTTAGCCACTTTGGCGACGGGCCTGGGCGCGGGCGCCATGGGATTTCGGCCGAGCGGATGTGATAGTCATGTTCCGTGTAAATCAGTGCCCAAAATTTGAACATAGATTCGATGGAACTACACCCTTCACTATAGTGACCATGAGCTGCACCTGCGGATCCCCTCTGGAAAAGTTGTTCTTACATTCCCTGATGTGGTTCACCTGGAGGATGTGTGAACACGTTGAACTTAATCCATTCTGACGTGTCGATTTTCTGTCTTTTCTCTGCACCCTCTCGTCTATACTATGGCATTCATCCGGTGATTATGCACATATTCCATTTCATACATGACAAGTAGCTTCTGCCCTGGAGTTCCCTCTCTCTTTTAAAAAAGGCCATATCTCCTGGCTCGCAACATATTCTTTGCACCTTCAAAGTTTTCAGAGCCGCGGTCCTCCACTTCCGCAGGGCACAGCGATTCGCATGGGGATGTCCCTATGGGGGGGGTCGTATGAGGCGCCAAGGGGGGGGGGGAGGCATTCGTAAAAGCTCGACCAAAATCCCATCGAATGCTTGGCCCGTGATCGGCCGGCCCCTGGCTCTATCTACCTGCGTCACGTTTCGGAACAGGACCGTGCCACAATCTGTTCCAAGTTGTCACATAAGCCCCCAAGTCATAAATCGCTTTATTGCCCGGTCCTCTTGTTTGCCAGCTAATTCTGCTTATTTCTAAGTACTGATCACGCAGGAAACGGTTCGTGCCGTTGTGTTTAAGAAGTTTTACAGGACTACAACATGTGTCGGGTTATGTTGAGTGAAATCACAGAGTACCCACGCTCCTGCAAGGACGAAGCGCCATGGAGGGGGGGGGAGGGACACGCGAACAGCACATGTTCTTCTGCTTACTTCCCTCGAAATAGTATCCCACTTGTTTGGCTGGCTCCAGCGAGGGTAATGTCGTCATTTCGCGCGTAGAGCATGAATTTAATCGCTTAGGGGGGGGGGTGTGTCCAACGGGATGCAGCAATTAATGCTTACGTTAGTACCCAAAATAATTATTTTTCGAGGTCATAACTATTTCAAACCACTTGTCTTTAGTCTGCTTTTCAAACATGGAATTCGCCTGGAAACTTCCCAGTTGCACTAAACTGTACCTAAAATGATTCAAACAAGAATAACCTGCTGAAATAATCCGATTGTAAACTATGAACGTAGTCTAGTGAAGTCTAGAACACCGGGTTCAAAGTTCACTTCTAACGAATTGTCAGCCGGTTGCACTCGAACGACACACCGTTGACAGTCTATTCATTCATCTGGATGTTACATGAGACAAGTTCATTTTTTGATTTCTGATGTTTCGCCTTCATGCAAAAGAGCTTGTTAGGTGGAACTTCGGGGTCAATTGCATGACGTTTCCACCAGACAGTTATCTCACTCTGAGAGTCATTGGGCACAAAGAAAAACATCTAAAACCAATAATGCCGAGGATTTAGAAGTTGAAGACTGTTTCGCAAGAGATTTCTGTTCCATGGTCGGTTTTCGCTTCACGATCGATTGAGCGAAAATCTGCGGAAAGACACTATTGCAAAGCAGGTTCCATACAGCGAAAGTGAAAAAGTCACTAGAAACCAGATTCGTCTTTCTGCCAAAGACGATCATCCATGACGGGAGATGCCGCCTGATTCATTTCGAATAGTAATAGTTAGGGGTGAAGATTCTTGGTAACGTTTTTCGGTTCTTTCGCTTGGCATTATTTTACAGAATGTGAAAGTAGGAAATACAGCCTTGTTCGATGTCGGGCAGTCGGGGGCTGGGTTTTTTGCGGCTCTGTCTCTTTCACTTTATTGTTTCGCGCGTACTCCAATTCAACAATTGCGTCGAAAAACAGGTTCTTGGCGCGGCTCCAATCCCAGCACCTCCCCCTGGGACGTCCCAGCGGTCCCAAGCTTCCAGCCGAAGTACTGTAACTACATTGTCATTCATCTCATGAACAATTTGAAAACCGTGTGCTGACCCCTTTTAGAACAAAACTATTTGGGTTCTCTTTCAGGGACAAAAGCAGTTTTCCACCAATTTTTCTGCCTTTTCTTGAAATGTAGAGGCACTTTCCACGATAACTTGGGTGCGATCATCACATTAGAGAATGGAGGTAGGGGTACCAATAACTAGTACTTATACAAGAAAGCCAGAAATGCTACCAAAAACCGATGAAGCATGACTATCTTAGCCATTATGTTTGTGTATGTACCGCGTACCGTGCATTGCTGAAGAGTTGAAAAGCCAGATTCCGCGGAAAACGAGCATACATGTTGATTTGTGGAACAGAGAATTAATCGATACTGATCTAGTCTTCATCGCGGATTCTCCGATTCGGTGATATCGCAAAATATGAACGCTGCCTGGATCTGCTTTGATAGCTTGCGAAAGTGAAGAATTTTCAATTGATGAGTTGGGGAACTGCGAAAAACTGAAGGATATCCCGGGAAGGATGAGTACGATCGATATATCCGCACTGAAGAACGCCTACTCAACTGTATTTACCGAAAAGTCAAGGAATTTTTTTGGCGTTAGAAACCAGCTCACAGGGATAATTCGGTATCCTTATCACGAATATAGCACACTTTTTCGGGCTGGCGCCAAATGGCGCCATTTGGCGCTGCCACCTTTCTTACCAAATTCGATGTGAATTTGCATAGTAGGGTTACTTGATGCCCTGATCACGAATGCCGCATTAGTTTTCGGCCCTGGCACCATTTGGCGCCACAGGCGCTGATTTGACGCCACTCCCTTTCTCATCAAAATCGATAAGAGCCTGCATAATAGGGTTGTTTGATGGTCCGATTCTTTTTCGTCACCAGTGCTATCGGCGCCATGCGGTTTCAGGCCGAGCGGATGTGATATTCGTGCTCGAGAGGTCGAACTGCTCCTGAAAGCCAAGCTTTCAGCCAATTCTGCCCCCCTAAAAAATCGATCAAAATCCGGCCTGTTTTTGGAAAAGTGGGGTACTAGCAGTTTGGGAACAGTTCGATGGCGATGTGGAAACAACGAAGTAGTCGCGGTGGGGGGGGGGAACTTCACGTGAAGCATGCCTCAGTGTACCTCCCTCTGATAATGAATGAGGCTCCGTAAAAACCTTTTCTTCTTGATGGGACAATCTCACGACGCCTCTAGTCGTTTGCGCTCTAAGCCTGAGCCACCTTGGGGAAGGATACAGGAGCGCGGCCAAGTGGTCCCCTCACCTTTCTACCTGCTTTAGCGCATTCATCCTTTTCGCATACTCGTTAGTTTTCAGATTTCACGATTCGTGGATTCTCCGACTCGTCAAACCTTCGATTCCGCGATTCGTCAGTCCGACTCTCCAAATCGATACATATCGAAATCCTCTTCGCATACTCGCCAATCCTCGCAATTCCACGAGTCGTGAACTGTTCACTTTTTCAGATCGATACGTACACATTCATTTTCACTTCACGATTTCTCCACTCCTTCATTTCGTCAGTTCTTCTCTTTGCAAAGGTATGCATGCGGCAGGGTAACGAGAATAACTGAGTGTTTGGCGAGATTTCGATCATGTGATGTCTCATCACGACTCAAGCCGTATCACATTCCCGTCACGTCACTCTCAATCTGAGGTTCCCAGCGGTCTCTTATTTCCCACAAACTTGTGTCGATGATAAAAAAGTTTGGATACTACACATGCCCGCTTATTTTTTCAATTAGTGGAACCGGAACGAACATGTGCAGTAATCGCAGCCAAAACATCAGAGCTCCTTCTCGACTGTTTTCTGATCATTTGTTACTGACATTTGATCAGCTTGTACAACAATTCATTATGAATCAGCCGAGTTGCCAGGAATTTCTTTTTTTTTATATTGTAAGAAGGTGATAAGAGTGTGTAATAGCATGTGCGTTCACAGTTCATGCATCGCAATTACGGCTTACGAAAGAGCCAGCGGCTATCCAATTGTTGTGTGGAACGGGGTATGAAAATATTATTGTCGGTCTCCAAAAATAGGTTGTGGATTTACAAGGTAGTCACTAAGTGATAGAGATTGCAGGCATGATTGCAGTTGGTCAAGATGTAGATAATTTCCTGTGATAACTAGAAAAAGTAAGTGCGGCTGTCCGAGTTAAATGGTATGGTTCGAAGTACGAGCACGCAGTCAATACGGACGATCAAAGTTCCTGCTAATAGAACCGTCTTTGCGAAACTTGCGGCCTCAGTTTTTAAACGGGCAATTGCCCTGAGAATTTTATTCAAAATGTGTAAACAGGCAACACCATAATACAGTTGACTGAAAAAAGGTAAATGGTCAAATTCTATTCATTTTGAATCTGTGAGATCGAAAAACGGAGTCTATTGTTTTGCAAGGGAAGTCACAAAATGTCATTGCGCTGACAAGACTTTCAGCTGTGTTCGGCTTGAGAGGAGCCATTTGCACTTTCGTTTTGCATTTTGCGAGTTCCTGTTAAATAACACGTCACATCGTGTTGAGAACTGTACGCACTTGTCAAGGCAAACGAAGCCGGAGGCGGACTCAAGGCAGCCGGAGGCGGACTCATCGTGCCCTCCTCACGCCTCTTTTACTGGTTCCCTGTTTTTGTTAACAAATTAAACAGGTCTCATAAGAGGGTATTGCCACTGAATGGACTCGACAAAGCAGGAAGCCCCACGAAGCCGACTGGCCTCATTTTGTTTTTTTTATCTGTGTAGGTGAAATGTTCGACGTTGACAGGCACCATAAGTATGCTGCCTTTATCAGTGATGAAGTCGTTTCAATGGGCGCACGGCCCACACAACTATTTTTGAGTGCC